ACTGACGGTCGGACTTCTTAAGGCGCATGCGCTGGCATGGTACTCACTGCATGTATGCTAGGAACATAGAATCATGACGTAGATCTGTTATTAACAGTTGTATGGCATCCTGACTTAGCGGTTAAGTGAATTTTACACGGGTGTGTGTTGTAGCTGACTCCAGCAGCAGCCAGACCTGCTTTAAATACACTTTGCAACCATGACAACACATGTATATCTATATAGTTATCATTGAAAACAATTTAATGACTTATTTTCGTCATAACTTGTTGCGTATGTTGAACTGACAACTCCACTGACGGTCAGACTTCTTAATGTGCGGGCATGCTACTCACTGCATGCATGCCATCCTGACAGCGTATGTCTATCTGACAGAACAACGGAGTTCTGGACAGCGTGACGTCACAGGCAAAGGGTCAATAAAAGTATCCCTACGCAGAAACCAATAGATTCATTTGCAATTTTTTTTCTCTTCCTGTAAAAATGTTTATATGAAAAGTAACAGGCTCAGATAAGAACACGTTTTATCATTGCAAAACGATAAGCTACATTTAGATTGCAGATTGTCCTGCTTATGCAACTCTGAAAGAAACTGAAAGAAACAAAATTCCTAGCTGTAGATAAATATAGTTTTCAGTGCTGCCCATTCTGCATAATTCATGTCGGCCAAAGTGATTTAAATCGTTACAAAATGAAAAATCTAAGCTCTTTTGCATTCCTTTGCAAACCATCTGCAGAAAACCATCTGCTCATCACATTAAGACATCTACACTGCTAAGGTTGGAATTTAAAGGTTAATTGAAGTCAGCTGCCGCTCTTCCAGCAAGGCGTAAAGCTGCCACTGTGGTAACAAGATATTATTTACTAACATCGGCTACAATGCCTTGCAGATTTATTCCCATCGTCTGAACTTTGTCAGATTACAACCACAAACTTCCAGGCATTTTATTGGGAGTTTATGTGACCAACTAAATATGTTTGTGGAAAGAGAGGATGAATGAGTTTTTCTTTTTCAACAAATAAAAATCTGTCCAATATGTCGCCCCTGAACAAAACTCAGTGTAACCAATCAGAAGTTACTTAAATAGTAAATAGAGTCCACCTGTTGCAATTACAGTTTGTTGGACAAAAACAGGAAGAACAGAAAGATGTCAAATAAGGGAATAATTGATTGGGGAAACCAGATTTAAATAATCAGTAATTTGAAATATCATGTGATTTAATGGTTTATTTCCTGATTCATATCATCAAACTGCCAAAGATCAATGCATATGAATGAGCCTTCAAGTGTAAATCTGCTTAAATCAAGGTTGTTCAAATTGGGGCTGAGGGGCCGCTTAGGGCCCCTGAACTGATTTTATGTGGCCCTCTGACCACAATTCAAGAATAACCTAAACAGATTAGGACAAAACTATGACTTTTAAATTAAAATCTACTAACAAAAATGTCTGATGCAACACAAAATGATCATCTTTTACTTCTGCTGTCATGGTAACTAGGACCACATCAACTAAACATTGCTGTGTTAAAACTTGCCTCAATATACAAAGTGTTTTCAAATGAAGACTTATCTAGATTTTGTTTTTATACTTGAGAATAGAATAATTATTTTTTTTAGTTGTTTTTTTTCCCATTCGAGTCCAAAATATTAAGAAATCTGGATTCATTTAACAAGTAAGATGTGCAAAAACCATGATGATCCCATTTTTACAAAAAGAAAAAAAAAAATCTGTTTACTTAATTTGTTTAATTGAAATAATTCATACTTGGTAAACAAAAGGTTTGGACACTTCTGGTTTAAACAAAGGGCTAAAGCACTCAAAACTTATAATTTCAGTAAATTATAAATCAAGATATCTAGTCCATGTAGGTGGAGAGCAAACATGTAAAAGATGGAGGTCTGGTTTAAGGAGACCAGTGAAGCATGGTGGTGGCAGCATCATAATGTGGGGATGTCTTTACTTCAGCAGATACAGTGAATCTGTTCAGAAGTCACCTCATCAGTAAATAAAGTCCATCTGTGTGTAATTTAACTTCATTAAAGCTGTTTGGTGATTACTGTTGGTCTGTTATTCTGTGGGTTTTCTCCAACATCCCAATAAAATAGACAGCAAAGTGATGAAATAAAAAACGCATCACCGACTCCTCTCTCCTGTAAAAGACGAGCCGGCCTCTGACTTTAGCAAACCCTGCTAATCTACAAACCCCTGCTGCCTGTGAAAATGGTGACCAGATCAAACTGTGCTGCTTTAAAGCACAACGCCGAGGCCTGACAACAAACATATGGCGGCGCTATCAGCTCCCCTCATGGTGCGCTTATCTCACGCCGCTCTGTGACAGGCTGCGCTCCTGGAGGAGGAGAGAGAAGGGAGGATGATTACCTGCTTGGCCTCCTCCAAAGACGTCTGCAGCCGGCTTATTTCCTTCTCGTACTGCTCCTTCATCTTGTCCACCTCCTGATCGTGAGCGGCCACTTCGTCCTTCAAAGCTCCTTTGAGGGCTGCCAGCTCCCTTTCTCGCCTCCTCAACAGTTCTTCCAGCTCCTCTTTGGCAATGACCACTTCCTGCATCTCCACCTTCAGCTGCATCATGTCCTGAAGCAAAGAGAGCCAAGCTGCTAACGTTATCTCAGACAAGAGTTCAGCTGCAGAGTTCAGCCAACATCCCGAAGTTCTTCTCATTAAAACCGTTTGTCTTCATTCCTAAGATCTGTGGAAGCGCAGCAGAGTCTGGAGGTTTTGTAATCAAACGACATGCGAGTCATCAATCCAATTATCAATTAGATAATAGATGTTTATAATCTAGAGCCGTGTGCATCATGTCCAACACAGCAAAAACACAAAATCCTACCAAAGAGCCAAAGATTTTTGGTTCTTTTAGCTTTTTTTTTTAAATCAATAATCTCTTAATATTGATGGAAAATTACTACTTCCACTGGCAGATTATTTCACTTAATCACAAGACATTTTTTCTATGCTACAAGTGAAATAATCTACCAATAGAAAAAGTATGCTTTCATTAATATAAACTAATATTTCTTGCTGAAAAGTTGCTTATAAATTAGTTTTGTCACTAATTTATTTGCACTAGAAACTGGACCAAAAACACTTTGTAAGATTTTCTGTTTTTACAGTGAAGATGCAGAGACTATTAAAACTGCCAATAAAAATAAAATAAAACATTTCAATCTCTAAATATTTTTTTAAATCTTCATAAAAATAGTTTCTCACAAATAATCTTGGTCAATTTGTCCTTTTCATAAGTTGTTTAGGTGTTTTTGTACCAAACTTTTACAGATATGGAACATTTGTACCAATGGAGACTCAATTCATGCCGTTTTGTTTCCAACCTGCTGTTAAAACTGATCATTTAATGTAATTTTCTATAATTTACTGGGAGAAAATCTACCACCAGCAGGTCACTTGTGATTATTTTAGCTTGATCACAGACGCTGTAATATAAATTGTTCGAAGGATATTATGTAATTAGATTAAGCCATACATTAGCTTAAAGCAAATTAGCAATACTTATGTAAATAATTAATCATAAACACTTACAAAACTCCCACAGTGTGACATAAACTCTGTGGCAGTCAGGAAATAATCAGACCAGGGTGAAGAGTGCAAAATTAAAATCAATCACATAAAGCTGCACAGTAGCTGCACTTATAATTATATTTTTAAATTTTTGGCATTTATTGATATTGTTATTGAAAAATAGTGGAGAAACCCAGACAATACGGACAGTTTTGGTTTTTCCTAAACACCATTAACTTGAATTTCTCATGACAAAGATGGATCAAAATTCTTCTCATGATGATAAATTAATCACAATAAGCGATGCAACAAACGCCCGTCCGTTCTAGTCTACAGAGTGAGTCTGTCCTGGCAGCTCAGCCTGATAGCAACATGGCGGCTCACCGCCATGAGTGCGTCTTTCTCTCCGTCAGCGGCGGCCCTCTTGGCGCTGTCCAGCTCGTCGTGCATCTCTGACAGCTGGTCCTGCAGGTCTCTGATCTCCGTCTGGCACTGCTCCCGCTCCATCTTCACCTGGAAGAGCCTGACGAAGCACAGGACACGTCAGCTCTGGAGAACCGCTCTTCATGCACCTATAATTCACACGCATAACTGGGAACACCTGGTGAGCCGAACGGGAGCCCTCAGAGGTTACCTGCCACCTGCCTTCATGGATCACTGGTGGTAATTAATGTGAAACACCTTTATTACAGTCCAATTGATACTGTTCCCACCACGATAACAAACCAGTAATTATCGTGATAAATATCGTTATTTTAAGACTCTTTTCAAGTATCGATACTTAGGCACAATGAGCAATAAATTAATTCATCGCATGATAAATTAAACAATAATTTCCTGATATCTGCATGATTTATCGTTTTTCTCTTTTCTGGTGCTTTAGTCGCAGCCAGACAATTTTGTCTACAAAGTCTATACATTTTATTTGTTGTTTTCTTTATTTATTTTGGATATTTAAAATGTTTTCCAGCTCCAGTGTTAAATATTCATTAGAATTTAACGTTTATTAATCTTTAATAATGCATCCTTGCATTATTAAGTCATTACCATTATATTACTTGCAAATGGTCTCAAAACAACAATATTATTATTTATCGCAATAACTTCTGGGACAATTCATGGTCCAGCAAAATTTGTTATTGTGACAGGCCTATAATAATGGCATAATAATGACCGTTAATAAAAACTGATAAACTTTAATTCTGTAAAGATCATGTCACACTGGAACTGGAAGAAATTATGAATATTCAGAATAAAATAAAATACGACAACCAAAAAACAAGAAATAAACCTGAGAAAAACCCTGACTTACTTGGAGGTAAGTGGGAGTTACCCCCAAGTAAAGTCAAGAAAAAAATAATTAATTATGAACTCTCAAAATAAAAATTCCCTTTAAAAAGTATTAATCATCAGAATCTAGCTTTTTGCACCAGGCTTAATTGTTGCATAAATTTAACCACATACTTTATTTCCACTAAAATATGAATCAGCTTGAACATTAAAACCAGCAGCTTCACCAGAACACCCAAAGTCTAGAAAGCAACAAAAGCACCTCAACCAACTTCCCAACGCAAATCGTCGCACTTTGTGCTAAAACAAAGAAAACATTATCTATAGGTTGCTTAACTACTGGCACATTTTAAAAGTTTAAACGTTTAGCAGAAGTAAATCACTTGCACTGACAAGAAAAGATAAACGAGAAGGTTAATGATTTGTGCAGCGCTCACTCTTCCACTGAGGAGTTGAGCTCAGCCTCGGTTTTAGCCAGTTTCTCCTTCAGTTGCCTGCACTCGTCCAGACTCTGCTGCAGCGCCTGCTGCAGCTCCTTCAGGCCCGCCGCCGCCCGCCGGTCCGCCTGACTCTTCTGCTGCCAACAACACAATGCAGGTGTTCATTTAGTTATTGTTTGCTGATAGAAACAGCATTTCCATTAAACTGATCTGACTCGTATTTTTACATTTCTTATCAATATATACATTTTTTTTATTAATATAAACAACTTGTTTTTCTTGTCTGCTTGATTCTTTTTAA